CGAAACCTGCGTAACAATGCTTCGTGTTTAAAAATAACAAGCAAGCAGTCAATCATAACGTCAATGCTGACGAACATTACAGTGACACTGTTGTTTTGCACTAATGCAGTCTGTGGACTTTCCACATGCTTTCAGAAGAAATTCAGCTGACTTTAACATTGAAACTGTGCTAAAGATCTGAGCGTAGACTGTCTGGAGTCGTACGGTCTCATGTGTGCTCGCCGCGTCACATGATCATTGCCCTCATACCTGAGGTTCCTGATGCACAGGGCCTTTGTCTAGAGAAACAATGACTGACTAGATAACATTTCAGCAATGCTGTCCTTTACACAATTGGGTTACTGTGTCACAGGACACAAAATGTTCTGCAAAACCGAAAGGTTTCACTGATGAATATCTTAAAGATACTCAGAAGGTAAACAGCTGTGTGATTACCTTTCCAATATCTTATTTAGAGTTTGAAACCAATGTTTTCACACAAAGATCACATATAACACTGAGGTCCAAAAATCTGAGACCACTGGTGAAAATGCCTTAAGAGATGATCTTTGCATTTCAAATTATAACAGAGTGAAAAAATTATATATATAAATCTTTTACATTTATTTTACTTTATTTAATATTGTCCTCAATTTATAGGTGACTAATGCAGAGTCACACTGACCACTTTTTAAACAATTAATTAATTTATACACACACACACACACACACACACACACACACACACACACACACTAATCATGTAAATTGTGTATATGTAAATATGTATATATGTATATATGGAGAAAATGTCTTAATAGATTATCTTTTCATTTGAGTGAATAGTTAAAGTAAAAATTAACATTATGAATAATTTAAAAAAATTACGACCCAACAAGATTTGAGAATAATCAGAAAAATAGTATACATACATACATACATACATACATACATACATATATATATATATATATATACATATACACTCTATATATAAATACATGTCAACAGATTATCTATTATATATATATATATATGGAAATGTTCGGTGTGTTTGTGTGTGAAAGCAGATCACGGTCCATCTGAACCTCCACTCAAACCACAGCCAAGAGAAAGCTAAACTAACACATCCACAGATAAACAGCAACTCTCACATTTTCAGTTTGTCTTTGTCCCATTTTTTCTCCATTAAGGAACGCATTTGGCTTCTCTCAATTCACGAAATTAATGACATAAATCATCCCAAAGCCTGCAGCTGTGGACACACTCTATAACCAACACGTGACAGCAGATCTCAGAGCGCAGCACAGAGAGGCCTGATGTAGAGCGCGCAGACAAGCTCCGGTGCGACTGAAGCACTGAGAGCACGGTTAGCGCCGCGTTTGGACAGGCCTCAGAGTCTATGCTCAGACAAGCCCAGGCAGGAATGACAACAATGACTGGAATCTGAGGGTTTTCCCAGAACTATCCGGCTGCGACTCCAATCATCACGAGAACCACACCTTAGCATGAATTATTGAAACAGGGCTGTTTTCATGACTGCATGAAACACAAACCACATCATGTACAACACAGTTACACATATAACGGGTTTCGATTATCAATGCAAAAGCAAACGTGTCATGTGACTTAAATTACAACAGTTACATCAAATTACAACACAGACTGTCACAAGACCAGAGACTGTTTGTTTGCACTTCCGTCTGATGCCAGCTACCACTACATTCAGGACAAGACAAATACACTAAACTATATATAAACAACAAATACAATTCACAAAAGGTTTTTAAAGTTTATCTTTGATTTAAAAAAAAAAGGAAGAAAAAGCAAAAATCTAATTCTAAAACCAAATCGGCAGCCAGTTGCATAGACACCGTATCTTAAGAACTAGTTTGACTAACTAGCAGTTAGTCAAGAGTTAACCAGTCTTACTTTCAATTCTAATTACAGCAGTCAACCTTTCTGGAACTGATTAAAAAAAAAGCTATGACCAGTTTAGTAGAAAAAAAAAATTACATGACTAACTTTTTAAGACTAGTCTAAGCAGTTTATGCAACCGGCCCGTGGTCTCCATGAATCAGTTAAAAAGTAAAGACTCCTTAAGGAGTTAAAACAAATAAAAGTCCATCTTTACAGATACTGGACAAAATAAAACTAAAAACCATAAAAAACAAAAACTTGAAATAAAATAAGTTACCTGAAATAAAAATGTATAAAAATGTATTTTTATTTCAATTTTGTTTTCTGTATTAACATTTCTCATTTAGTTTAACTTGATGTACTAAAACAACAACAAAAAATAATAATAACTAAATAAAAATGAACAATAATAATAATAAAATGGCCAAAAAATTACTAAAACCTTAACTAATATTAAAAAACGAAAACGAAAAATATAAAAACATAAATTGAAAATTTTAATACAAATTCTGTGAGTTAGTCTGGAGTCATAAAACCAACAATAGTATTGAATGTGACAGTTCACCCAAAAATGAAAATTCTGTCATCAACAGTTGCTGGTCCCATTGACTTCCATAGTATTTTCCCCATAATATGGAAGTCACTGGCTACCAGCAACTGTTTGGTTTCCAACGGTCTTCAAAATATATTTTTTTTGTGTGTGTTCAACAGAAAAAATAAACTCATTCAGGTTTGGAAAATGAACATGAGGTTGAATAAATGAACTGTCGCTTTAAGGTGGCAAACAGGTACAAGAAAGCCTCAAAATCAGAGCTAGATAATGAGAAAGCTGCGGGAAAGAGACAGCTGCACAGAAACACCACGCACATGCACTCGAGCTGTTCTGCAACGCTTCCTCTAATGCTCGCAAGAAGCGCTCGCAACAGAGGCCTGGCACAGCCCAATCACAGGCTCAAACCACATCCCACGCCAACACACATCTGCTCATCAACAGCCAAACAAGTCACATCAGAGAAAATGTGCACGCTTGTCATTTGTGCATCTGTCTGTAAGCACTGCATGGCTGCGGTCTCAACGGCCTAATCAGGGTCACACGCTGGATCTTAAACCCCGTAAAACATACAGGCTTCACACCGCCAGACCTCGGGCTACTGTCTCCATGGCAACAAGATCGCATGACCCCGACACCAGAAGACCTGTGACTGTGGAGTCACCAGCGCCAACTGGCCACAAATCAGCTGACGAGCACTTCCTGTTAAAGACAGCAAAAAAACACAAACAAAACAAGTCATCACATGCTGGCAAACTGTCGAGGAAGTGAAACTTTCACAATCGAGAGATGCTGAAGAGAAAGAAAAAGGAGAATAACGTTCCACTTCCCCTCTGAAAGGAGCTTTAAAAATGTCGACACACGTTATTGATAATAAAGTTATTAAAGTTAGGCACGTCTACAGAAATTAAAGGGACAGTTCACTCAAAAATGACAATTTTATCATCATTTACTCAAGTCTTAAGTTGTTCCAAACCTGTATGAGTTTTCTTCTGCTAATAAGGGTGAACAAACAGTTGACGGCAGCCATTGACTTCCATAGTATGGGGGAAAAATGCTGTAATTCATGGCTACCAGCAACTCTTTGGTTACCAACATTCTTCAAAATATCATCTTCTGTGTTACACAAAAGAAATAAACTCATACACGTTTGGAAGAGCTTGGCGGAGCGTAAATGATGACCATTTTCAATTTTGGGTGAACTGTCCCTTTAAAAATGTCACACATTGAGTGATCAATAATAGTTATTAAAGTTAGGACTGTCTTTGGAAATTAAAGGGATATTTTCATTCAAAAATGACCGTTCTGTCATTTACACACCCTTGTGTCATTCCAAACCTGTATGAATGTCTTTCATCCACTGAACATAGAAGATATTTTGATTAATATGGATGAGGAAACACTCGACGGTAGCCATTGAATTCCACAGTATGAAAAAAATACCATGAAAGTCAATGGGGACCAGCAGCTGTTTGGTTCCCAACATTCTCCAAAATACCTTATTTTGTGTTCAGCAGCTGAAAGAAACTCGTACAGGTTTGAAACAGCTTGGCGGAGAGTAAATAATGACAATTGTAATTTTGGGGTGAACTGTCTCTTTAAAAATGTTGACGGCACATTGAGATATCAGAAGTAATGTGACTAAAGGTAAGTAGATTAAAGGGACGGTTCACTTAAATTCTGTCATTTACTTTCAACCCCTTATCTTTCCAAACTATTGTTTGACTCTTCTGTGGAACACATATAAAGACTATTTCACATCAAAACTATTTGTTCGCCAACATTTAGCAAAATATCTTTAGTTTTTCATAGAATAAAGTCAGTTTGAAACAACATGAGGAGAGAAATGATGACTGTTTTTGGATGAGCTCTTTTTAATAGTGCAAACAAGCACGTCAATAAACGCTGCATAAGCCTAGCCCATACTGACCAGCAAAGTGCTAAAACTTAACAAATCGAGCACTTTTTAAATACAAAGTGGCAAAAGCATCTAAAATGATATCGAACTCCACCCAGCAAGACAACTAGTGACTCCTCAGAGACGACGCTATTACCTTTGACTGAAAAATTTAGTATTAGCCTTAAAACCCAACATTAAGACATGTGGGAAGCACAGGAAGACGTCACACATGCGTAATTACGCGCAGCGGCCAACGCCTGATCTTAAACACGGCTAGTTCTAAACGTGTGTCTTTAAGTCATCGTTTATCCAGAGCAGAACGCGGCTGAGGAATGTGACGCTCCTCCTGCTACACGAGCCCAACGCTGCATGTGTTTACAGTGTCATCAAACAGCAGTAGACATCAGACCTGTCCGGCAGAATACCATCGCAAATTACGCAGAATCACCAGCTGCTTACGAGAGAGCAGGTTAGCATTCACTTTCTCGAATGAAAGGAGGGCAAACAAACACTGTGCATGAAGTTTTTTTAAAAATGCATGTATTAAAAGTCTCTTTAAAACAATCAGACAGCTGTTAAAACGCTAGTCTGAAATTAAACGTACAATCGGATTAGAATTTCAATGGTACATCACATTTGTTAAAAACAAAATAAAACATGTGATTTCATACAGACAGTGGTTTGTGGTTTGAGTCTGGGGGCTTCAGTACCTGTATTAGAGAAGAAAAACAAAGAAACAATAGGCCTTTTAAACGTCGTTAACCCCCGAAACCATTAGCTAGTGTAACAGTTAAGCACTGAACCGAGACTTCTTGCAGGTTGGCACTAAACTCTTGGAACAGGCTTTTGGAAGGCACTCGACGCGTAAGCTCCGACGTCCTCGCGTCAAAACAGTGAAGTCCTCGTGCGCTCAATGGGGAGTGGCTCGTGAGAGTGGTTTCAATTGTGACGTCACGGAAAGCAATACTTTGCACGATTCACAACAAGGGTTTCCAAGTCCATGAGCAACACACAGCCGCTTTAACCTCCACGTTCCTGGGGTTTAAGTTCCAGTTGAGAGTGCAAGACACTTGTGTTGACATCAGTGGTGTGCTGTAACTCCTGAAGAGTGATCCACTCATCCTCAACAGAACAGAAATCCTGCAACACACCTCTAAAATAAAATACAAACAAAAAACTAATTACTAGCGCTCGTCTGCGTCGCAAAAGACAACACCACACAGCCAGGCACCTGAAAACAAACCCCCTCAAGTGCCTCTGATTTAAACGTGTCGGTTTGTCTCTATACATATATTTATATAATCCCAGAACATTCAAGTATTCTGTCATGTAAACACTGCTTTCAATATTCTGTTGTCGTGTGCAAGACATGGTAGGACACTTATAGGAATACTGATGACAGTTAAAGCGACGGTTCGACCCGAAAACCAAAGTTCTGTCATCTGTATTCCGCCGAACACAAAAGAAAAGCGTTTCTGGTCCATAGCACTTTTTTTCATACTAAGGGGACTAACAGCTGTTCGGTTACCAACATTCTTCGAAACATCTTCTTTTGCGTTCAGCAGACGAAACTCGTACAATAAATGATAGCAGAACTCTCGTTTTTGGGTGAACGGCTGCTTTAAGGCGACGGTTTCCCCAAAACTAAAAGTTCTGCCAGCTCTTAATTCGCGATGAAAGGTGCCAGAACTTCGGTTTTCGGCCGAACTTTTCCCTCCACGGCAGAATTAAGCGATGTCTGTCGTGTTTTGTCCTCCTGCGTCGTTATTTGCGCTCTCACCATGGCAACAAACGCGAACGAGAAACCAGAAGTCGCGCTCGGTTTTAAAGAATCGCGCAGGACGCGCAGCACTGGTCGTCTCCGTGCGGCGCCGACGCGTAGTTCATCTGCCGCACGATCTCCGCGAACAGCTCGTCCACCGAGCCTTTGTTTTTGGCCGAGGTCTCCATGAACGGGCAGTTCCACTCGTCCGCCAGCGCCTTGCCTTCCCCGGAAGACACCTCCCTCTCGCCCTCCAGATCCAGCTTGTTGCCCACCAGGATCATGGGCACGCGTTCGTAGCGCTTGACGCGGATGATCTGGTCGCGCATGGGCTTGATGTCCTGGAAGCTCTGCTGGTTGACCAGACTGTACACGAGGATGAAGCCCTGGCCGTTCTTGATGTACAGGTCGCGCATGGAGGCGAACTGCTCGGTGCCCGCCGTGTCCAGGATCTCCAGCACCGACGGCGACGAGTCCACCTCGATCTCCTTGCGGTAGAAGTCCTCTATCGTCGGGTCGTACTTCTCGATGAAGGATCCGGTGACGAACTGCACGGTCAGCGCCGATTTTCCCACGCCGCCGGATCCCAACACGACCACTTTGTATTCTCTCATGGCTCTGAGCGCTTGGGCAGTGTCTCTCTCTCTCTCTCTCTCTTCGTGCACCCGTGTCGAGCCGCCCTGCTGTTTTCAGTCCGCCGTTATTCCGCTCGCCGCCGGTCTCCGGGATCGGGCGCGGCCGCTGCTCCGTTCGGTGAGTGTTCTGCGGTGAGGATGGCCTTGCTTCGGACCGTGGCCCAGCATTAGAAGCGCATTCCGCCGGACCGTGTGCCGTGTCTGCGCTCCGGGAGCGATCAACGCGCCTCTCGCACTCTTCCTGCCCACCGGCCGCGGCGCGTCACCAGCGGAGCGTCTCTTAAAGGCGCAGTCACACCAAGCTGTTTGTGTTACTGTCGACTCGCATTTATTCAAACAATACAGCTTCACATTAATACACGGGAAATAATGTTGCCAAATTCATCAGTTGACAAAAAATCCAGTTTCAGCTTTAAAGCAGCTCTGCTGAAGACAAGAACAGTGCCATTATTCAGATCGGCTCAGTTCAATAGCAGGCGCAGTGTTATTGTCACAGGACTTCCCTCTGCAGGACACAACATGCTGAACTGGTTGGGCTTTCCATGCCATGACAATGACTGACGATGAATAGCTACGGAAGCCAGTTTCCAGCAGGAAATACAAAATAATTAAAGTAATTGTGTAATTGTTTTTATCTTATAATTCAGACTTTTTTTCTCACAATTCTGAGAAAAAAAATCACAGTTGTGAGATTTAAACTCTGAATTCTGACTTCTTCCCTTGCAATTCCAAGTTTACATCTATCATTTTTTTCCCCACCATGAAATAAAAACCAAAAAAAGATAATAGTGACTTTTAATCTCACAATTCTGACTTTTTTTTCTGAGAATTTTGATTGCAAGGAAAAATTATGAGATAAAAAGTTGCATTTTGGCACATTTGTGGGTGCACTGTCCCTTTAACAGTGTTTTTAGAGTGCACCACACTCAGCTGATAAAATGTGTCACAACCAGTGACTGTATAAAAACATGGAAGTAGTGTCCGTGACGTCACCCGTAGGTCTCCGAAGAGCTCAAAGTGGGCGGAGCCGGCCGTCGCCATCTTGGCAGCGCGTCACTCCCGGATAATCGAAAATGGGCAAAGAGGCGGGAGCAGGTTGCTGAAGCCACGCCCACCTAGCTCGACGGTGGTGACAGCAGCGGCAATCCACCTGTCACTCAAGTGGCCACGCCCTTAATTTTGCAGAACTTTAAGGCTTAATATAATTTAAACGGATGAGTTATAAAAAAATTCACCCCCCGCACAGTTGTCATGAAGGGCAAAATTACCTATATACACCAAAAGCACTTCTTGTACCAGGCTGTAAACACATTTTTTTCTGCTGTAAAGTTGGGCATTTTAACATGGGGAGTCTATGGGACTGACTCACTATTGGAGCCAGCCTCTAGCGGCCAGTTGATGAATTACAGTTTTAGTCACGTCCGTGTTGGTTTCTCGAGAGAGAGCAGAAAGAAGGTTGCAGCTTGGTCTCAACTCAATGAGTCACGCTGGACTCTAACCAGAAAACATCTCAGATTTACCGTAAACTCATCTCATCTCATGTTATATCATCCCTGCTCAGAGTTTCACAACCGTTTGGATATGTGTGAGATATCATCAGAGTTATGGTCACCTGCTGGCCCTGTGTTCAGATCTGATCCAGCGGAGCGATAATTCACTCTATAGACAGGTTTAGGGTTTTTAATAAAATATGGTCTGTGTTTAAAATGATTTGAAGAGTTTTGTTAATGACATATAAATCTCAAAACTAAATGTAGCTTCGAAATCCAGATGTTGCTGTGTGTATTTATGTTGTAGAGCTCAACATGGAAGTCTCTTCAAATAAAGTTCATCTCAATTACTCATAAATGCAAAACCCCAGAGGAAGCTCCATTATGACTCTATTATATCCAGTTATGCGTGTGACGGAACTCTGTACCAGAATTGCAAAACAAAGATAAGGTCTCCAAAGTGTAACAGCAGAACCAGCGTTTCAGCGGATTTGTTCTGACAGCTCGCTGAGCATATGTGGTAAACTGGGATATTCCTGCCATGTGACAGTCAGATGATCCTGTAGCCTATAAGAGGGATCCCTGATGGAAGGATAAAACCGTTCCTGTCACCAACATAATCAGCATGTCATCATGTACAGTGCAGTAACTGATTACATGTAATCTGGATTACGTAATCAGATTCCAAAAATTACATATTTGTAATTAGATTACATTACGTTCTAAAATACTCAGACTACAGTTACTTTTTTTATAGATTACGTGATTACTTAATATTCAAAAAATGGCAGTAATTCATTGATCTTCCCGAATTCGTATTCTTTATTTAAATCTTTTAAATGTTTAACTTTTTTGAAAAAAAAAAAAAAAAAAGAGCAACCACACAGCATAAACAAATAAAATATATAAACTTTTTTTTTAAAATGTGTTTAAAATTATTTTAATAATTCATTTAAAAATATTATTTTAAAAATATTTTAAAGTGATTTATTTCTTTTAATTTCACATTTTTAAGATTTAATTAATCATTTGCTTTTCAATTTATGAACCCCTGCAGTTCCTTCACAAACCTTAGTTTGAGAAATCCTGACGTAATGTAATGTTTAAAATAAACCAAAAGTAATTCGATTGAATCGATAAGATGAATTCAGCTTAACTGGGATGTTTATTTGTTTTTTCCCAGTCATCTCAAAGGTGAAAAGTGTCCCAATTTACCTGAATTCAACCCTATATTACTTAGAATGTGTAATGTACTCGATTATGCTACTAAGTATGATTTTCATCATGTATTTTGTATTCAGTAGTGGACTACTGTCATGTACTCACACTTCTGTCTAAACAATGAAAGTCAATGGGGTCCAGTGTGGCCTTTGTACAAAATCAGGTGAAACAAGATAAAAAGGTCAATTTATACAGGTATGCATTTGAAAAGTCTCTTGTGTTTCCAAAAGCTGTGATGTTCAGTGTCTCTGTCCACATGTTTGGACATACGGAGGAATGCTTCAGAAGCACACTTTAGGCCGTGCAAGCACATTCAGAAGGACTTTGTTGCTCATCACATGATGATGTGTTTGACTCTCTCTGTGTTGTTTGATGCGGCTGGAGCGTTAGTAATCAGTCTGATGGAAAGACTGTATTAATTATCATTGTCATCGAAAGAATATGATGCGATTATTTCTTTGTTTGTGGTGTTATTTTGTTTTTGTCATTTGTAGTAGTTTTGTTTTTTATGTATGTCTATATAGTTTTTATTCAGTTTTAGTTTGTCATTTTGCTACACCAAGTTAAACTAAATTAAAATGAGAAATGTTGCCTTGGAAACTAGCTGGAATAAAAGAGTTTTATGACAGTTAATGTTTATTTTATTTCAAGTAAGGAAAATGTTATTTTTAATGGTTTTAATTTTAGTTTCAGTTTTAGTTAACTACCCTGTTTGTTTATGTTTGTTTGTTTGAATTATATCATGTCTTTTTTGTAGGGATTGTAAAAATAAATGATCAAATGTAACGACATTAACTTGTTAAAACACGTCTTGACAGCAGACAAACACACTGAAAAACATGTGACTTTGAAGCACTTTTCAGTCAGAATTTTCAAGTAAATTTCACAAATAATTAAAAATAAACAGTAGATAAAATGTTAAATGTGAACGTTTGACGTAGAAAAATGGAAATAGCATTTTTTAAAGTGTACTCTAATCTGAGTTTCTCATGAGTTACAGCGGCTGACAGTGAATCCACATCAGATCCTTTAAACTGGAATTACAGCTTGTCTGCACACGCAGAACTCAGAGACCGGCCATTTACATAACATGATCAACACTATGTGTGTGTGTGTGTGTGTGTGTGTGAGAGAGTGTGTGTGTGT